GAAGTATTAGTAGCTGGGAGAATCAGAAGAAGCCTCCTCTGGGAAAGAGTGCCCTTAACATGTTTATCCCTCATTCTCGAAGAGGACCATAACATCAGGAAGGTGATGCCATGACTTGTAAGTTGTGAGAAGTTGCCACTGTGGGTGTCCTATGGAGCAGGACACCGTTGTACCACAGCAGTTCACAATTTAGCTCTGATCCCAGCCTCAAAGTTCTTCTTCTGTTTCCTCATTGGCTGAGTACTCCAGAGTGTACAACTTTCCAATACAACTATTACACATCAACTCCTGGACGTGTCCTCCCTCCTTCTTCATATGTCCCATGTTCAGAAAATGGTGTCTTAGCTCCTCCTGGAGGTGGAGAAGCTAATATTTATAAGCCTAATAAGCATGCACCCTCTAAGCAAAGCTTAACCTTTGTCCTACTTACTACCTTCTATCAGCACAACAAGACCAGCTTTATCGTATTTTACCTAATTACTTTTAGCAATTGTTTCAATTTGATGGAATCTTTTGTTCTGATTAACTATCTTGTATCAACAAAACATGAGACCTGTTGTATCCTGTTTTACTTAGTTACTTCTCTAGCTGTTTGTTCCAAATTTATGGGAACAAACATTTTCTTTTTATCTGTCAGTGAGAGTTGAATTTAAGTGAGGGAGGGCTGTGCAAAGTCAGCAGCCTCACTTTCTCTCATTGAAGTCAAGTGGCAGGGTATAGATCAGGATAACTAGACATGGCCCCAGATGCAGTGGGAGACCTTGGCCTTTTTAAGCTAAGGTCTTTCCCAGGTCTTGGTTTGACTGAGGCAACACCCATTCGGTGATTAAAGCTAGGTAAGAAATGAGGCAAAGAATGACCTCTTTTACTTAATAAAAAAAAAAAAACCCGAAAACTTAATCTTGAAGAGAGTTCAGTATTATGGAGGTTGAAAGATGAAATGATTGAGGAAACAAAGGTTCCACCTTCTGAGCATATCAATTTATTAAGCAGTGTGTGCCAATTGCATAACAAATCAAGATCAAACTTTAGGACTGGACCCCAAATACAGGGGGGAGACATGCAATCAATTCCAAAGTTCTTCAGAGAGACCTCGAGAGTGTCCTTGAATTGCTTCTTCTGACTACCATGTGAGTGTTTGCATTGTATAGTTCTCCTTAAAATAGTCTTTTAAGCAAATGTGCATTTAGCATTCCGAACAATATGGCCAGCCCACTGGAGTTGTGTTCTCTGCAGTAGAGTGAATGCTTGGCAGTTTAGTTTGAGAAAGGACCTCAGTGTCTGGTACCTTATCTTGCCAGATGATCTTCAGAATCTTTCTAAGACAATTGAAATGGAAGTGATTCAGTTTCCTGGCGTGGCACTGGTATACTGTCCAGGTTTCGCAGGCATACAAAAATGAGGTCAGCACAATGAAGCTCTGTAGACTTTCAGTTTGGTAGTCAGTCTAATACCTCTTCCCTCCCACACTTTCCTTCAGAGCCTCTCAAGCACTGAGCTGGCTCTGGCAATGAATGTATCAACCTCATTATCAATGTGTAAATCCCTGGAAACTATAGTGCCAGGGTCAGGGAACTTATCCAAAGTATTTAAAAGTTCTCTATTTGCTGTAACTGATGGTTCCATATATGGTGTGGTGCTGGCTGGTGGAGCACCTGTGTTTTCTTGGTGTTAATTGTTAGGCCAAAATGAGCACAAGCAGCAGAGAATCGATCCATACTTTGTTGCCTCTCAGCTTCAGAGGCGGCGTTGAGTGCACAATCACCTACAGACAAAAAATCATGCACCAACACTCCTTCCACTTTGTTCTTAGCTTGTAGCCTTTTCAAGTTGAAGAATGTACCATCAGTTCAGTAGCTGACCTTGATGCCATGTTTGTCTTCATTGAAAGTGTTTGACAACATCGATAAAAACATGCTAAAAAAACATGGAAGCAAGCACACAGCCTTGTTTTACTCCATTGGTGACTGGGAAAACTAGAGAGCATTGTCCATTATCCAAACACACCATCATGAAATTGATGTACAATGTTAATGAATTTCTCTGGGCAACCAAATTTTGACATAATTTTCCATAAGCTGTCACAGCTAACAGTATCAAAGGCCTTAGTCAGATCAACAAACGTGTACAAGAAAATGTTGTCTGTTCTGCTCCTGGCATTTTTCCTGGTATTTTTGGGCAGCAGACTCTGTATCAACCATTCCTCGGCCCTTTCTGAAGCCACACTGGCTCTCCAGTAGATGACCATCTTCTAGGTGAAGGATCAGCCTGCTAAGGAGGACTGACTAAGAGAGAGACACCCCTTCTCCCACCCCGCCCTCCCCCCCATGATTATCACAGGACAATCTTTTTCTTTACCTTAATAGAGAGAGACAATGGAGGCATCCTTGAACTCCTGGGGAATACCTCCTCTTGCCATATAAGCCAGAAAATTTCAGTCAGCTTTTGTGTGAGCAATGGACCCTCTACCTTGTAAATATTCTGGGTGATTCTAGAGGTTTGTAAGCATCAGGTAGAAGTGGTCCAGGCTTCCCAGTCATGCAGATCTACAAAGTCATCTCTCAGATCCCACATTTGAATAAAGTTTTCCCACAAGATGGAAATTGGACTAGACCCATAACTGAAAAGAAAGGGGAGTGATCTAGGTCCAGAATTGAGTGACAAGATGGAGTTAGTATGATCCACTCAATTCCCACTGCCACTTATTTTAATTCCTTCAATTCTCTCAGCCCATTTGCCCAGGGATCACTTGTCTATGTGCCAAATAAATAAGGTTTTTCATATATTCATATATGTAAGTCAGGTTATATATCAAACTTAGAAGGCTCACGATGGACTAATTTTGAGAGGGGAGATTTACATATTACCAAGAAAACTTAACTATAAACATGAACACAATGAAACAAAAGGTCAAAGTAATACAATGATGATCATCAATATTAAATAACATCGTCTCCTTGTATCCTAGTAACCCATTCCCAAAGTTCATTTAATGAGCACATTTTTGCTTTAACTTCCAGATGTCCCTGGTAGTCGTTTGGTCTTTGGATATCTTCCCTTGGACATCTGGGAATAGGCTTCATTCTCAGGGCAGCTCTGAAGGGAACTCTGCTTCTCTGGTTCCAAAACTTGTAGAGAGTCCTAGGAGCTTACCTTGTTAGGCTAACAGACTATTACAAGAATGAAATAGATAAGTAACAAAACAAGGTAGTATATGACAAATGTTTAAATGAGTATGAATAATAAGTACCATAGGAATTCATAGAATCCTAAAACTCAGGGCTGAAAAGGACTTGATAAGTCATCCAGGCCTCCCCCTCGCTTCAGGAGATGAATGTGAGCTGAGGAGAGAAAGGAAGGCTCTGTGGAGCAATTGAGACTTTAAACATAAACAGAAGGATGGTAGGGTTTGTGGAGGAACTTAGCAGCATGGCTGGAGGAGAGAGTTCCTGTTTAATTAAACCTAAATTTAGAAAAGTGGTACTGAAGCCATACTGTAAAATGCCTCAGCAGCCTTGCTGAGGGGGCTCCCAGGCTTTTTTCTGCCAGTGTTTTGTAGGAGCAGATGATACATCAGGAACTAGACCTTTAAACAGGTGTAGAACCGGTTCTTTGATGCCTCACTTTCACTTGGCAGTCCCTTGGCTCACTTCATAAAAGGTTCATAAGAGCTGGGCGACAGACACCCAGAGGTCATCTATCTGTCTGGTTCAGTAGTGTCAAACTCAAATAGAAACAGCTCTGTGGCTGTATATGGAGTTAGAAAATCACAAATAGACGGTGTCCAGGTTAAATTTTTTACTTTTGTTAAACATTTCCTGGTTCCTGTTTAATTTGTTTCTGCAGCACTCAGGGAGGGGGAGCATTTAGCAGTGAGTTTGGACACCTTAATTTTAAAGATGAGGAGACTAAGGCCTAAAGGAAGGTTAGGTGATGAGGTCATAGAGGTAAAAGTAACAAAGCCTGGATTTGTACCCATCTAAAGGAAAAAAATGTGGTTGTGAAAAGTTAAAAAATGAATAGGAATTAGCTGTAGCCAAATTTAATTGTTAAATATTCAATCTGCTCTTAGTTAATTTAGGCCACAGGAGTGGGGAACCTGTGGCCTTGAGGCCACATGTTGCCCTCTAGGCCCTCAAGTGTGGCCCTTTGACTGAATCCAAACTTCACAGAACAAATCCTCTTAATAAACAGATTTGTTCTGTCAAACTTGGACTCAGTCAGGCGGCCACATCCTAAGACCTAGAAGGCCATATGTGGCCTCGAGGCCAGCAGTTCCCTACCCCTGATAGGGTGATATGACCCACCTTACTCACTGACCTTGCAGATGTATGTATGCTGTCACTAAAAATAGTTTGACAATGAGAGAGACTGGCTGGTTGGTCCATATAGTGGGTTTTTTTTTCCTTAGGGAAGATTATTCTGGTCAGTTAGACTGGCATATAGTCCTCTTTTTCATGCTGATCCTTATTAGCTTCACTTAGAGAAGAGAATGATTCTGAACCCTCACTGTATTCTCCCTGCCCCGGACCTTTTTCTTTTCCAGCCCTTTGAAGTGTGTCCTAGAGCTGACTGGGCCTTGTTTATGACCTTGTGGGCAGTTGAAGTCATGGTATTGACTAAGCTAATGATCCAGGCCTCAGAAGAAAGGTCCCTTCTCTTCTGCTTCAGGAGCAAGTTGGGAGGTACTGCTGTCATTGAGCTATCTGGCTTGGCAGGTGTGTGCTAAGGGATCACTTCTCAGGCTCTCCCCAGCACTTGCTGCTACACTAGGAAACAGTCACAAGCTTTACTAGGCCTAAACTGCTTAGGGAAGGCTTCTGAGGAGCCTCAAAGCAGGGGTTCATGGCTCTTCCCCCCCTCCCCAGGAGGGGTGCTTGGTAGCTTGGCTCTGTGCTGACTCTGGCCTATAGATATTTAGAAGTGTGGTTGCTGCCATTCCAGAGGGTGCCTGGGGAAAAGAACCTGCAGCCCTAGGAGGTAAGCTGAGGGTGGCCTTTGGAGTCTGGCCACCCATGAGCCTCTCTTGCTCCCCCAGGTCCAAGGCTGGCCGAGCCTCATCGAGATGTCTGCACCACCAAAGATCAGCTGCTTTTGAGGGGTCTTCCCTGGCTCTGATTGGCTGTTCTAGCCCATCCATCTTCCTCCTGGCCAATGACAGCCTCCTTCACACATGGGCCCTGCCCAAGGTGGCAGTTGGAGGTGCTCTAACTGCCACTATCCCTGGGGGAGCTGTGGAGGCCATGGCCAACAGGAGTGGCCGAGCCCGAGGCCAGGCTCTGGGCCTCTTCTCCCTGGCCCTGCCCGTGGGGGACGTGAGTGTTGTTTGGGAGTGGGGTACCTGGGGGGTGTGGGGGATATAAGTGTTGTTGGGAAGGAGATGGAGAAAGGAGCAGTAGGAAGGCCCAGGCCCAGGCCTGTGGGCAGTCTGCTCAGGCCTTTTAGGCTGGACCCTTCTGAAGTCACCTGGTCAGCTTCTTAAATGATGAAGGAAAAAAGGGAGTGTGGACTAATCCCTGGCCTAAGATCTTTGGGTCTAGCCCCCACAATTTTATTGTTGAGAAAATTGAGGTAGAGAGAGGGTCAGTAATTGGACAAGGGCCATATAGGCTAGCAAGTGTCTGGGGTGGGATTTGAACGTGAGCCTGGTTTGGCTACCAGTTGTTCAGTCCCGCAGCCCACAACAACAGGGGATAGGAAGAATCCCATGATTACTAAATCTACAAGATCTCCAAGGCAATTGGAGATTGTGAAATTGAGTTAAGATGAAATCCCATTTGAATCTACAGGACCTGAGTTTAAAAGGAATTGAAAAGAGCCACAAAAAAAGATTTGAACCCAGGGGAAAGAAAAAGGAAGGTGTCACCAGGCTCCCTCTCTTCTTCTAAGGCTCTAAGTGGTAGCAGTGCTATTTAATCTCTTTTTCTCTTTTGGTGAGTCTGAACATTTAGTGTTCCGTGTTTAAAGTGGGAAGGAGGGAAGAAGAATCTTCCCTCCTACAGAATGAACAGCACAGTATTTAGAGATTCTGTTAAGAGTAATTCTGACAAGTATTAAGAAAACATTTGTTGTACAGCTTTGCTCACCATAGAGAGACAACAAAAGAAGGTATCACCCAGATTTGTCACAAAGGATTCTAGAACTTGGAGCTGAAGGTACCTAAGAGGGCATGTAGACGTACCTCTTCATTGGACAGAGAAGGAGTAGGAGGCCCAGAGAGATTAAGGGACTTGCATGCTAGCCGTGTAACCACTAAGTAGCAGAGCTGAGACTGAAGTGAGCCAAGCTCCTCTGCCTCCCAATGCAGAGCTAAGAGATTTGCCCTCAGGTTCTCTGAGTTAACATTCAGTGCTCTTACAACTGCCCTGCTCTGTCTCAGTGACATGGGAAGTTCAGAAGGCTGGGCATTGTGATCCTATGGGAGTGTCAGTGTATGTTAAAAGTTATTCATGTGTGCTAAAAATAGTAACCTACTAGTTCAGGCTTTTTGTTGCTCAGTCATGTTCTACTCTTCTTGACCCCATTTGGGGTTGTCTTGGCAGAGATACTAGAGTGATTTGTCATTTCCTCTCTCCAGCTCATTTTTATAGATAAAGGAACTGAGGCAAATGGGGTTAAATGACTTGCCAAGGGTCACAAAGGTAGAAAGTGTCTGAGGCCAGATTTGAACTCAGGAACATAGCTCTTCCTTACTCCAGGTGTCACCTAACTGCCCTTATTTTCAGGCTGTTTATTTACTGCCTATTTTAGCAGTTAAGCAGCTATAACCAAAGCATATGGTTTGTAAATGTCACGTATCAGTCCTCTGTTCAGTATATGTGTAGGAATATAGATTGGTTCAGTGGTTGGACAGTTCCTGAGCTTAGGGATTTTAAAAATTAAAGAATTAGCTTTTGATGTTTTGAATGAAAAATGAAAGAATTACAACGTGGTAGTTAATTTCTATTCACAAAAATAAAGAAATGAAAAAACCTGTTTGGGTTAGGAAGCAGCCTGAACAGTAGTAACCAATCTTTTTAAAAAATTTAAATACTGAATAAAATGAGCATTTCCCTATTCAAAGTAGAACAGAATGTAATGTACATGAAACCACAAATCTCTATTTTGGTACAAATTGTTTTTCTTTTTAAGTATATAGGGTATCCCAAAGGTTTTAGCACAATTTTAAACTTTAACTTCAGAATCACATAAATGCTACAACTTTTTAAAAAATCACTTGAAAGTTAAATAAATTTGTTATGCTTTTTTGAATTTTGAATAATATTTTAATGAGACACGGCAATAATTTTGTATAGCTTGTAACATTTATACTTCTGAAGTTATCAAGCTAAAAACTGCATTTGGGGGGAAATCTGTTTAATTCAACTTGTAACTTTCAAAAGCTGTCCTGCTGTACTTCTGGCTTCTGTGTATTAAAAAAACTTTCAATACTTCCCATTTCCTTCCTTCCACCAATTCTAGCCCTAGCCTCCCTCTCCCTCCCCACCTCCATTAGAGAAAAAAAAAGAAAGAAAAAACTCTTGTAACAAAAAACATGTACAGTCAAGCAGAACATATTCCCATGTCCGAAAATATTTTATTGACTCTTACCACCTTTCTGTTAGGAGGTAGGCAGCATACTTAATCATCAGTCTTCTAGAATCGTGTTTACTAATTGCATAGATCAGAGTTCTTAAGTCTTTAAAAGTTTTTTCTTTAAAGGCATATTCTTATTTTATAAATTGTTTTTTGTTTATTTCTTTTTAAAAAATAAATTTTTATTATCTCTTAGTTTATATTGCAAATATTTTCCCAGTATTCACATCCCTTCCTGTTCCCACAGAACTATCCCATATATAACAAATTTTTTTTTTTAAGATAAAGGGGAAAAAGACAAAAAATTCAGCAAAACTGATCAATAAATCAAAAAAGTTTGTTCTTTATAATGTCACAACTTTCACTTTTGATTGTGGTGATTATTCTTTACATTTACCGTATTGCTGCCCTAGTATGTATTGATTTCTTTGCTTTTCCTCGTTCTTTATCGGTTCATGTATATCTTTATCATATTTGTAGTTTCTTAAGCATAATAACATTCCATTACATTTGCCTGCCACGGTTTGTTCCAACATCCCCAATCCTGCTCTGTTCATTTTACTCCACATCACTTCATCCAAGTATTCCAAGATTTCTCTGAAACTGCCCCTTTCATAATTTCTCTTGGTGCAATAATATTCAGTTGCATTCCTTTATTATAATTTATTTGGCCATTCCGCAATTGAGGGTCAGTCTCTTAGTTTTCAGTTCTTCGCTGTAACCAAAAGAGCTTCTATAAACATTTTTTGTACATGCCAGTTCCTTTTTCTCTTCCTTGGTGTCTTTGAGTATAGGCCTAGAGGTGGCATCTTTGGGCATAGGCACTGTTCATTGACTTCTGAGGCCTAAATCTGAATTGCTTTCTTAGATGTCTGGATCAATGAGCAGCTCCACTGAAGACAGTACATAAATGTGCTTGTTTTCTCTCAACCCTGCTGTGGTTCTCGTTTTCCTTTTTTTGGTCATCTTTGCCAGTCTGAAGGGTGTGAGGTGGAACCTTAGAGTTGTTTTAATTTTTATTTCTTTAATTATTAGTTAGTTGGAGAATCTTTTCATATTCTTGTTGAGAGCTTGGATTATTTCCTTTGAAAACTACCTGTTTGTATCTTTTTTTTTATCTTTAATGTACTGGGGAATGACTCTTATTTTATAAATTTGAATTAGTTCCTTATATATTATGGATGCAAGACCTTTATCAGAGAAACTTTTTGCAAAGATTTTTTCCCCAGTTAACTGTTTCCCTTATAATCTTACCTACATTGGTTTTGTTTGTGCAAAACTTTTTTTAAATTTTATGCAATCAAAATGTCACCCTTATTTGGTCCTGAACTCTTCCCTTATTGATAATTGTGAAGGTATTTTCTTCCTTGCCCCTCTAATTTTTTTTTTTGATAAAAACTTTAAGTCGAGTATCTATTGGAGTTGGTTGGTCTGCACCAAATATCTTCTAGACTGCTCTTTACTTTTCCCATTGTTTTTGGTGGAATCATGAGTTCTTGCCCTGGGATTTGGAAGTCTGGGTTTACCGGAGAGTATGCTACTGTATTCATTTGCTTCTGTATGCATTGATCAGTTGCTCTATTTTTAAACCATACTAAAATAGGTTCAATCAGTTTTTGCAGTAAAATTGAGATCTGGTTCTGCTAAACTTATTTCTTTTTACTTTTTTTTCTATTATTTTTCTTGATGTTCTTGACCCCATCCTCTGATTTACAGATGAGGAAACTGAGGCCAAGAGCAGTTAAGTGACTTCCCCAGGATTACACAGTTTATAAGCGTCATTGCCAGATTTGAGGTGGAAACCAAAGTTGCCTCGATTTATTTGCACTTCTCTAATTATTAGTGATTTGGAGCCTCTTCCTAGGCTTGGTGACAGCTGGATTTTCTTCTTTGGAACTGCCCGTTCCTCTCCCCGCCCCCAGATCAGCTGGAGGGGGCGTGGCCCGGCTTCTGGGGGCTTGGTCAGGCGCCTCAGCACGGAAGTGGCGGCCCTGCGCCCAGCCCGGCTGCTGCTAACCGGCGCTCCCCGCCCCCTTCCAGACTCCGCCATTGCTCATGGGTTCCACAGTGCCAGCCCCGGAGCCCTCCCTGCGGCGGCCATCCAGCCCGGGCCACCGGCCTGGAGCCATGGCCACTGACTCGTGGGCCCTGGCGGTGGACGAGCAGGAGGCGGCGGCCGAGTCGGTGAGCTGGCCTTGGCTGTCACGGAGCCTGGGCCCTGCGGGAGATGGGGGGAGCGGGCTGGGACGGTATCGGAGGGTGGGCGGGCGGGGAGGTAAGGTGGGGGGGCCGGGGCCCGAGCCCCCGAGCGCGCATCCTTTTTTGATTTACGTTTTTTTCTCTGGGCAAAATCTCTCTCCTCTGCACTGAGAAAAAAGCCCCAGAGCTTTGTAAAAGATGGGCGCAGTCAGGCTTGGACGTGCCCTGACTGTGGGTCAGTCTGCGGCGTCAGTCCATCCTCTCCATCGGGAGGTGGAAGCATGTGAGAAACAGTTTTCCTAGGGTGATGTTAGGCCTCGGGCTCTCGGAAATAGTAGGAGCTCTGTGGAAGGTATTACCCAGCCATCTTTGGTCTCTGAGTACCTTCCTTGCAATTTGACAGGTACACAAAGAAAAATGGGAAAAGCCCCTGGCCAACTCCTCTGCTGTATTTGAGGATAGAAATGGTTTCGTTTTTGTTTCTGTGTATATACCCAGTACGGTTTCTGGTTCATGATAGGATCCTTGATAAATACTTGTT